GCCGGGGTGACCCCAGGTGACCCGTGTCTGTCTTTCAGGAAAGGGAAGGAGGTGCCGCCCTCCTTCAGGCAGTTTTTCAGCAGTTCCCTGGCGCTGACGCACATCAACCTCTCGGGCACCAAGCTGGCGCCCGAGCCCTTAAAGTGAGTGGTTCGCGCGTTTTCTCCGCAGCTTTTCCAGCCCCGCTGGTGGGTGTCAGCGTGCTGGGGAGGGGCAGACGCAGAACCCTAAGGCCCACGAGGCCCGACGGGTGTCTTTTCACTTCGGGGCACAGAAGGAAATGATTCATTTTTTAAAAATACATCTTGATTTCAGAGAGGAAGGGAGAGGGAGAGAGAGAGAGAAAGAAACATCAATGAGGAGAGAGAATCATGGATGGGCTGCCTCCTGCACACCCCCTACTGGGGGTGGAGCCTGCAACCTGGGCATGTGCCCCAACGGGTAATCGAACCCGGGACCTCCTCGTTCATAGGTCAACGCTCAACCACTGAGCCACACCAGCTGGGCACATTGAGTGGAAGGGAGGGAGAGAGGGAGTGAGGAAGAGAGAGAGAAGAGAGAGAGAGAAAGATTGAACATCGATCTATTGCCTCCCTTACGTGCCCCGACCAGGGATTGAACCTGCAACCTGGGTGTGTGCCCAGGGAATCGAACCCACCACCTTTTGGAGTGTAGGGCGACCCTCCAACCAACCGAGCCACCGGCCGGGGCAGCAGTGTCATTGTCAACAGGGAGGTGGTGCTTGTGCTGGCCTGGGCCCCGGCGTCGTCCTCCGGGCTCCATTAAAGGGAAGGAGGTGCCGCCCTCCTTCAGGCAGTTTTTCAGCAGTTCCCTGGCGCTGACGCACATCAACCTCTCGGGCACCAAGCTGGCGCCCGAGCCCTTAAAGTGAGTGGTTTGCCCGTTTTCTCTGCAGCTTTTCCAGCCCCGCTGGTGGGTGTCAGCATGCTGGGGAGGGGCAGACGCAGAACCCCAAGGCCCACGAGGCCAACGGGTGTCTTCACTTCGGGGCACAGAAGGAAATGATTCATTTTTTAAAAATACATCTTGATTTCAGAGAGGAAGGGAGAGGGAGAGAAACATCAATGATGAGAGAGAATCATGGATGGGCTGCCTCCTGCACACCCCCTACTGGGGGTGGAGCCTGCAACCCGGGCATGTGCCCCAACGGGTAATCGAACCGGGGACCTCCTCGTTCATAGGTCAATGCTCAACCACTGAGCCACACCAGTTGGGCACATTGAGTGGAAGGGAGGGAGAGAGGGAGTGAGGAAGAGAGAGAGAGAGAGAGAGAGAAAGATTGAACATCGATCTGTTGCCTCCCTTACGTGCCCCGACCAGGGATTGAACCTGCAACCTGGGTGTGTGCCCAGGGAATCGAACCCACCACCTTTTGGAGTGTAGGGCGACCCTCCAACCAACCGAGCCGCCGGCCGGGGCAGCTGTGTCATTGTCAACAGGGAGGTGGTGCTTGTGCTGGCCTGGGCCCCGGCGTCGTCCTCCGGGCTCCATTCAGGGTGCATCTGGGCTCCATTCGGGGGCCCCCGACCTGCCCAGCGACGTGTGGCCTGGCCTGTTCCTCCGCAGGGCGCTGCTGCTCAGCCTGACCAGCAACCGCAGCCTGAAGGCGGTCTCCCTCGACCTCAGCAGCTGCGAGGTAAGGGCGCCGGCGGCTGCCCCATTCGCCTTTTTCCTGGGAAGAGCTCAGGCTGTGGCTCCAGCATCACCAAAGCAGAGACACGCGTCAGGGAAGGTCTGGGTTCCGTTCTGTGGGATTGATCCAAACACCACGGGTCCCCATTTCAGAGCATCACGTGGGCTTTTCATGATTAAAAAAAAATCCCCACTTTCTGCCCAGCGGCTTCCATATTCTAGGAGACACAGTGAACGCACAGCCTGCCCTGCAGGCGACCACGGGGCACCACGCGCTTGAACCTAGAGCCCGTGAAGGAGAGGGCACGTGCATTTCAAGGACTTCTGTTCGCAGCCCTGGGGGAGCTGCAGCCCGGGGGGACCTTCGGCCTCAGATAACCGGCGAGTGTAGCCCACGGCCCTGGCACCTGGAGAGCCGTTGCTTTCCTAGTCAAGTGTCTGAGTTTTGTCTCGGGAACACACTTTAGTTGGAAGTGTCTTTTTCTGACTCTTCGAGTTTAAATTGTGTATCGATAGAGACGTGAGCTTCTTGATTCTCAGTCGACTCACAGCCGATAACAGTTTTGTTTTCTCTCCTCGGCTTCCGGTAGCTGGGCCTCTGTGTAAGTACTTCGTGAACCGCTCACTAGCCTGCGTCGTTAGGATTCTGTTTGACAATTGGAAAATGTTACTTTTATGGGGAAAGGCCACGGGTGGTATCTAGTTAAGAGTTTTTATAAAATAAATGGCGTCGAGCGCTCACATGTCACCTGGAGTTCCCATATTTGTAAATGAAACTTTTTCACTGCACTTTATAGAAAGTAGAGGTTTTCTTGTAAAAAATTCACTTCTCAACAGAGAAGTCACCAACAGCAAGTAATAGAATTGTAAAGACTTGGGCACCTTTGTTCAGATTCTCAGACACACAGTTCTTTTTCATGCTCTGAAAATCAAGTTACGTTTCTTTGACGTGTTTGCCTAAATTATTTCTTGTTTTAACTGTGACATCGTCTGTGCACACGTTCATGCGAGTGTTGCCGAGCTGGGACCTGGAGCTGTGCTTCTCAAAACTGTGGGTTGTGAAGAACCTGTTGTTGTTTTTTAGCTTCCAGTCTAGTGTAAATCAGCGTTTTTGCAAAAATTTAAAAGGACACTAGGAAATACTTTATTTTTAACTTTAACTGTGACATCGTCTGTGCACACATTCATGCGAGTGTTGCCGAGCTGGGACCTGGAGCCGTGCTTCTCAAAGCTGTGGCTGTCAAGAACCTGTTGTTGTTTTTTAGCTTCCAGTCTAGTGTAAATCAGCGTTTTTGCAAAAATTTAAAAGGACACTAGGAAATACTTTATTTTTAATTTTTAAATGTAACTTTAATTGATTTCAGGGAGGAAGGGAGAGGGAGAGGGAGATAGAAACACCAGTGATGAGAGAGAACCATTGATCGGCTGCCTCCTGCAGGCCCCCCACTGGGATCGAGTCCGCCACCCGGGCACAGGGCTGGAATCAGACCCAGGACCCTCCAGTCCGCAGCCGACGCTCTGTCCACTGAGCCAACCGGCCAGGGCTGCTTTGCTGCTTTTCTGAAGGTTGAGGTTGATGTGAAGTGGGAGACGGCAGCAGTGACGAGTGTCACTCTTCACCACCCGTGATCGCGTCTGTGACGTTTCTAAGTTGGTGCCGAGTTTAAGACGCAGCGCCCGTGTCTGAGGTTTTGGCTACGCCTCGCGGGTGACTGTGCCTGTGTCCGTCTGTCTGTCCAGCTGAGGTCGGGAGGCGCACAGGTGTTGGAGGGCTGCATCGCCGAGATCCACAACATCACCAGCTTGGACATCTCCGACAACGGTGAGCGGCCGCGGGGAGGGGGGAGGGCTCTCGGAAGCGAGCGAGTGACGGGGACGCACCTTCCAGCCCGACCTGGGCGGCATCCGTCTGTGGAGATGTGGCCCCCCTGGTCTGCTGGGCCTCTTACATCTGACAGTGGAGTTTACTTATGGGACAAACCTGTGCCTGGTCTCACTGAGCTGATCCTGGAGCCCACAGTGCAAGGTCTGGGCGGGAAAGGAAAAAGTCAGCTCAGCCCTGGCCAGTGTGGCTCCGTGGGTAGAGCGCCTGCTCTCGGACTGAGGGTCCCGGGTTCCATTCCAGTCAAGGACATGTACCTGGGTACCTGGGCTGCAGACGATCCCTGGCTCTGGTCAGGCGCTTACAGGAGGCAACCAATCGATAGTCTTTCTCACATCAATGTCCCCTCTCCGTCTCTCTCCTCCCACTCATTCTCTCTAAAAATCAATGGAAAAATGTCCTTGGGGAAGGATTAACAACATCAAGGCACACACAGAACAGACAAAAGCCAGTTACAATCTCGGGCCCAAGATGAAACGATCCCTGGCCCTGGTCAGGCGCTTACAGGAGGCAACCAATCGATAGTCTTTCTCACATCAATGTCCCCTCTCCGTCTCTCTCCTCCCACCCATTCTCTCTAAAAATCAATGGAAAAATGCCCTTGGGGAAGGATTAACAACATCAAGGCACACACAGAACAGACAAAAGCCAGTTACAATCTCGGGCCCAAGATGAAGAGCTCAGCCTCTGGGCTCTTGGTGGAGGGAGATCAGGTTGAGCCCTGGCGTGTGTGTCCGGAGCGTGTTCCCGGCGTGTTCCCACAGATGCTCGCGGCCTGGGCAGTTTGCATAGACACCGCACTCGCTGGTGGAGAGCGCCGAGTCTCTCACCAGGACGGGAGCGTGGAGCCACCTGCCCTTCTCCACTCCCAACCCCGCTGACCTCATCCCCACGGGCTGCGCAAGGGACTGTGGAGGATGATTGTTGTTTTTTTTAAATTTTTATTGTTGAAAGTATTACAGACCCCCCTTTCCCCCCGCATTGGTCCCTCCAGCCCAGCCATGCCCCAGGCCCTCACTGCCCCCACCCATTGTCTGTGTCCATGTTTTTATTGATGTCAGAGAGGAAGGGAGAGGGAGAGAGAGAGAAACATCAATGATGAGAATCACTGATCGGCTGCCTCCTGCACGCCCCACACTGGGGACCGAGCCGCAGCCCAGGAATGTGGCCCAACCGGGAATCGAACCGGGACCTCCTGGTTCCTAGTCCATTGCTCAGCCACTGATGAGCCCCGCCCGGGCTGGAGAATGAGTGTAGGGGTTTATCCCTGGGAAATACGAGGGCAGGGGGAGAGCACAGCGTTCCCTGGAGGAGAAGAGGACCCAGGCCCTCGGGGAGCCGCCCTTGCGGTAACGCGTTCCCCTGAGCGTCGTCCGCCGCGTCCTGACCCTCCCCCTCTCCCAGGCTTGGAGTCCGACCTCTCCACCTTGATCGTGTGGCTCAGCAGGAACAGGTCCATACAGCACCTGGCCTTGGGCAAGAACTTCAACAACATGAAACCCAAGTAAGAGTTCTGGGCTGTTGATGTGCCGGGGGCGGACGCAGCCTCCCGGACCCGTGGGCTGATCTCTGCCGCTTCTTCGTCTCTTTAGAAACCTGACGCCCGTGCTGGACAGCTTGGTGCAGATGATTCAGGACGAGGAATCGGTGAGCGTTCCTCTAAAACGCCTGCCTCATGTCTTCTGTTGCCGTTCTCATTATTTCCTCCGGGTTAATGGTCAGAGGCTTCCAGGTCATTTATTCTGGGCACACGTTTTCTGTCATGTTTTAAAAAAATGGAATAAATCGTTAGGCTTTGGCATGGCGATAGGAGACATTTAAAATTTACTTGCTCTTCCCTTGATTCCACCCATGATGAATTAAAGGAAGATTGTAACAAACAGATGAAAAGAAATAGAGGTTGACTCCTAAGCTCATTTCTTTAAAAAAAAAAAAATTATTGATTTCAGAGCGGAAGGGAAAGGGAGAGAGAGAAAAACATCAACAATGAGAAACATTGATCGGCTGCCTCCTACACACCCCCCACTGGGGATCGAGCCCACAACCCGGGCCTGTGCCTTGACCAGGAATAGAACCGTGACCTCCTGGTTCAGAGGTCGATGCTCAACCACGGAGCCACACGGCTGAGCCTGAGCCCTTTAATGTGCTAAGAAGATGTTGTGTAGCATCTTTGTTATGTCATCCTTTCAGAGAGCTGGCACCGGCCTCTCTCGGTGTCGCCCCGGCTTTCCTTTGAGGGGAGGTGCCCGTCCGTGTTCCCAGCGTCTCTCGGCCGAGTTTACAGAGGAGGCCTCCGCGCAGCGGGTCCTCCCAGTGGTTCTCCATCCGAGACGAGCTGTGTGCTGTCCCCCACCCCCGCAGCCTCTGCAGTCCCTGTCCCTGGCCGACTCCAAACTGAGCCCATCTTTAATGTGTTAAGATGTTGTGTAGCATCTTCGTTATGTCATCCTTTCAGAGAGCTGGCGCCGGCCTCTCTCGGTGTCGCCCCGGCTTTCCTTTGAGGGGAGGTGCCCGTCCGTGTTCCCAGCGTCTCTCGGCCGAGTTTACAGAGGAGGCCTCCGCGCAGCGGGTCCTCCCAGTGGTTCTCCATCCGAGACGAGCTGTGTGCTGTCCCCCACCCCCGCAGCCTCTGCAGTCCCTGTCCCTGGCCGACTCCAAACTCAAGACCGAGGTCACCATCATCATCAACGCCCTGGGCAGCAACACGTCCCTGACCAAAGTGGACATCAGCGGGAACGCCATGGGCGACATGGGCGCCAAGATGCTGGCCAAAGCGCTGCAGATCAACACCAAGCTCAGGTGCCCCCGGGCGGCTTATGGGGGGGAGAGGAGGGAGAAGGGGGGACAGTTTCCGTCTTTTGTCAGAATACCGAGAGGGTGTTCCCAGATTTATTTATTTTTTTAAATATATTTGTATTGATTTCAGAGAGAAAGGGAGAGAGAGAAACATCCATGATGAGAGAGCATCATGGACCAGCCGCCTCCTGCACACCCCTCACTGGGGATGGAGCCCACAACCCGGGCCTGTGCCCTGACCTGGATCGAACCGTGGCCTCCTGGTTCATAGGTTGCCGCTCAACCACTGAGCTGTGCCGGCCGGGCCTGCTCCCAGATGTGGACAGTGATTCCTCCCAGCCTTTGTGGGAGAGGTTTCTGCTGGAGGGGCACCTGCCGAGAGCTGTGGGGGCTCCTTCCTCTCGGTGCTGACGTGACCGAGTGGGGCAGACAGTGGACGCTGGTGGGCAGGGCCCGGCGAGCAGAGCCAGGAGGCGGCAGGAGTGACGGGGCTTCCGCTCAGGTGTGAGCCCTGCCTCCTGGCCTCCCCTCCCGGGACCTGCCACTGAGGAGAAGCCAGCCAGGGGCCGGGTCCACGGCTCAGAGCGAGGACCATTTCCCCTCGGTCACGTGATGCGTCGTCCGAAAGCACCCAGATGGGCCCACAGAGCTTCCTCGTCATGGGCGGTCTGGTCCCTCCCCTCCGAGTGTCTCATCGTCTATGTGGTTCCTTTCCAAACAGGACGGTGATCTGGGACAAGAACAACATCTCTGCTCAAGGCTTTCAGGACATAGCCGTGGCCATGGAGAAGTGAGCGCTCGGGGATTCCTCCTGGGGAACAGTCACACCCGGTCCCTGAGCCCGGGGTGTCCCTGAGCCCGGGGTGTCCCTGAGCCCTGGGGTGTCCCTGAGACCGGGGTGTCCCTGAGACCGGGGTGTCCCTGAGCCCCGGGGTGTCCCTGAGCCCGGGTGTCCCTGAGACCGGGGTGTCCCTGAGACCGGGGTGTCCCTGAGACCGGGGTGTCCCTGAGACCGGGGTGTCCCTGAGACCGGGGTGTCCCTGAGACCGGGGTGTCCCTGAGACCGGGGTGTCCCTGAGACCGGGGTGTCCCTGAGACCGGGGTGTCCCTGAGACCGGGGTGTCCCTGAGACCGGGGTGTCCCTGAGACCGGGGTGTCCCTGAGACCGGGGTGTCCCTGAGACCGGGGTGTCCCTGAGACCGGGGTGTCCCTGAGACCGGGGTGTCCCTGAGACCGGGGTGTCCCTGAGACCGGGGTGTCCCTGAGACCGGGGTGTCCCTGAGACCGGGGTGTCCCTGAGACCGGGGTGTCCCTGAGACCGGGGTGTCCCTGAGCCCCGGGGTGTCCCTGAGCCCGGGGTGTCCCTGAGCCCCGGGGTGTCCCTGAGCCCTGGGGTGTCCCTGAGCCCTGGGGTGTCCCTGAGCCCTGGGGTGTCCCTGAGCCCTGGGGTGTCCCTGAGCCCTGGGGTGTCCCTGAGCCCTGGGGTGTCCCTGAGCCCTGGGGTGTCCCTGAGCCCTGGGGTGTCCCTGAGCCCTGGGGTGTCCCTGAGCCCTGGGGTGTCCCTGAGCCCTGGGGTGTCCCTGAGCCCTGGGGTGTGGCAGGCGTAGCTGTGGCTGGGACTCGCAGGCAGGGCCGAGCTGGTCTCACGCGTGGCCTGTGTGAGTCTGTCTGTTCGTGGGCGCGTGCCCGACGCTGCTTCCTCCCCCCGCGGCCTCACAGTCTGTCTCCACGGTGCTGCCTTCTGTCCCGTGATGGCAGCTCTGCACCCGGGGGGAGAGGAAGCTGATGCCTGGAGGGAAGATGCCGTGGGTGGACGGCGGGCCTGTGGGCTCGGGCCGATGTGACTGGAGGGCAGAGACCTGTGGCTCTCAGGGCGACGGGAGGAGGGGGAAGGAAGCCACTCCAACCGCTTTTCTTTTCTGAAAATAAAATATGTATTTATTGATTTCAGAGACAAAAGGAGAGAGAGAGAGAGAAACATCAATGATGAGAGAGAATCATGGGTCGGATGTGCCCTGATCAGGAATCCAAGCCCACAACCCAGGAATGTGCCCTGACGGGAATCGAACTGTGACCTCCTGGTTCCTAGGTCGACGCTCAACCACTGAGCCCCGCTGGCCGGGCGGGAAGTTATTTTTAAATAAACATGACTTTCTCCTTTTCGTAGGAACTACACGCTGCGATTCATGCCAATCCCTATGTATGACGCCGCCCAAGCCCTCAAGACAAACCCCGAGAAAACGGAGGAGGCTCTGCAGAAGGTACGAGGAGCCGGCGGCCGGGTTACTGTGAACGCACATTCGCTCGGAATCGTGTGCATACGTCCGACATACGAGCAGCTCTTGTCCTTACAAAGCGCTGTTCACATCGGCCTGTGTTCTCAGGACCCCGGCGGGCACAGTGCCCGATGGGGGAGGGAGCGGCGTCAGCTCCTGAGCCGGGACAGTGACTCCGGTTCCCACGAGTTCCATTCCTCCCTCAGTCCGGCCGGCGTGGCTCAGGGGCTGAGCATCGACCTGTGAACCAGGAGGTCACGGTTCCTTTTCCGGTCGGGGCGCAGGCCCGGGTTGCAGGCTCCATCCCTAGTGGGGGGCGTGCAGGAGGCAGCCGATCCATGACTCTCTCATCATGGATGTTCCTCTCCCTCTCCCTCTCCCTTCCTCTCTGAACTCAATAAATCTGTATTTTAAAAAAGAGCAATGCTTCACCGTGAGGCAGGCACCACTCCCAGTCCTGGGGTCGGGCGCTGGGGGCGTGGAGCTCGTGCTCTGGTTCCGTGTCGCTTGACTGAGTCGCGCTGTGACCCTGAGAGGCACGTGCTTGTTTCCAGATAGAAAACTACCTGCTCCGGAACCACGAGACCAGGAAGTACCAGCAGGAGCAGGCCTACCGCCTGCAGCAGGGCATCGTCACCAGCACCACCCAGCAGGTGGGCCAGGGCCGCC